GAGAGGGAGGGAGGGAGGGAGACGTATGCTCCATGTCTGAACTTTTTGTTGCAATTCTCAAACATGCTATGTTTCTAACCTCAAGGTACTATAGTGTAAAAGTTAACAATTTCATTTCTGATTATGTACACACTCTGGCAAGCAGATGGCTGCAGTGGCAGCGCTCTGTACACAGCATGAGAAGGAACACCGGCCAAAAATAAGTATCATGGTCAAGGCTCTGAGGCCGTTGCTGGTCAGCAAGTAATCTTCCCCGCCCTGCTGAAGCATCTCGAGTGTGAGGCATCGTCTTCTCTAGCAGTGAAATAGCATGTGGTGTGATTTCCTTGTAGAATTCGAAATCATGAATTCAGAGATGTATGATTTTAAATGTCAGCGGCATATGCATATATTGTGTATATTTCCCAGCAAAGAATTTTTTTTGTGTATATCATACCGCACGAGATCATGAAATTTCCCAGCTGCCACCTTTCCTAACGCTTTCTACCGGACATCGCTTCAAGTCATGCATGTGCTGTGGATGCATCAGGTTTTCCTTTTATTATGTGTTTCTTTCTCCCGGTTTCTTTAGGTTTTTTCATTCTCCTTTTTCCTACTTTTCTATCTTTTACCATTTTGTTTTTGTTTTTTCAATTTTTGAATTCATGAACAATTGTTCTAATTTGTAGACCTTTTTAAAATAAGGGATATTTTAAAAATATGGGAAGTTTTTTTGAAATCTATATTTTTCAAATTCATGAATATTTGTTGAAAATACAGAAACATTTTGAAATTCATGAACATTTTTAGTTTGGAAACCATTTTTAAAGTTATTGAACAATTTTTTAAATGGAAAAACTTTTTTTTCGAATTTGTGGGCATTTTGTTAATCGGGGAACCTTTTCCAAATTCATGAAAAAATCAGAAATATTTTTTAAAAAATCTGATTTAAAAAAATAAATTCCTATGTTTTTTTCTAGTCGCCCCTTCTTTTTCGCTTCTCTGTATGGCCTGGGGGCCAATTAGGCCGACAATCCTGCAGCTGGGTTGGTTCATCACGAAGCTGGAGTCAACCATTTCATCAGTTAGATTTTCTTGCTGCTTCCTGTGCACTAGTTAGGAGCATTTCTTTACTTTTGTGAATCCCTTATTCTTGATAGAAATAAAGGTCCACATCCAAATCAATTCAAAACTGAATTTACCGACTCCCGAATTTCTGACAATGCATCCTCGTACGCCATGCTCACCTTGAATAACATGAAGTCGTCAACCGGTGGAAACAAGAAAATGCAGTAATCAGCCTTCGTGATAGGCAAGATGCCATCATATAGCTTTCCTCTGCAATGCATGGTTTAGGGGTTCTCAAAAAGGATCAGAAACCAAATGTAGGGAAAACTCACATGATGGAAAACGGATAACTGCAAGGGGACTGTTCTGACTTTCCTCTGGCTGATTTGAAATATAAGATCACGATTGGTTCTTTTAGGCCAAGGATAAACTATCCGGAGGCAAGTTTGTGCAAATTACAAGTTGTCCAGTGGAGGAAGATAGTCAGCCAAATGCATTGCAAGCACAGTTATGCTGGCAACGTGACGGCAAAAGGCAAACAAAAAACGTCTTGTCATGCATGAGGTTCTCTGCACAATGGAAGCACGACCTTTCTGGATGATCAAATTCTGCACTAGATCCTCCACTGCCTCTCTGGAGGCAGTCTTCAAGAAATATGTCAACGATATAGCATGACCGACCTGTAACATGAGAGTGATCTTTCAAGACAATCACAGTGATCTATGACAGGAAATTTGAATGATAATTCAACTATGCATTCCTGAAGTATGGCTCCCATATGAGCTCTTACCTCAACTTAATGGCTGCCTGTTGAATCAAAGTAGCACTGCATAAAACTCTCAAACATTATACTGAGTCCATATTTGAGGACACTGGATTTTGCAGAGAACAATCAATAAAATATAAGATAATCCTACTGCCATCTCATAAGCTGATAGCTCAAAAGTTAAATTATAACGGTTGGGTTGTTTACTCTCTATCAAATACATAGTTCCCTCTCTACTCTTCTCTTAAATGTTCAGTACATCCATGTTTTCTTCAGGGTTCAAATTTCTACAGACTTACTATAGATAGATTCAGAAATAACTTTCACTTACTATCGATAGCTTGTTCACTTGGGCGCAAGTCAGGGAGGAAGATTCAGAGTTTCAGAGTAACCTGAATTGCCATGGTTCCAGGACTTTGCAATTACTAAGCCTATTCTGCAGTCCTGGAAGCAAAGTTGTTCATTATGTTATTTTTCAGGTTTTCAGTGAACCTGTACAAAAATATGCGCATTTTAATAACTAAATTGGACATTTATGAAAAAAGATACAAGAGCCCAGTCCCAATGTTCTAAAAACATAACAACTCTTGTCATACAGATGCCGCTGTGATAATGGAAAATACTGATAAACAAGGTGTGGCCCTGAAGCGTCTGAAGTGAACCACACATAAAAGCTGGCCATATTAGAGCTTCCGGCAGCCAAATATAAAACGTCGCTGTTGGGGGAAAATGCATAGTTAAAAAACTTTGTTGTAAGATCTCTATTTTTCAGCTCTGATTCGAGTTAACTTGGCCCCTGAAAGATTTTTAAAGTACTATATAGCTTCACACTTGTCTTGGGTATAATAAGTTTCAGAGTTCACACATGAAGTCTGAAAGATTCAGGGCTAACATTCAGCTCTGATTCAAGTTCAGAGTACAAAATTTACATAACGCTTACTGTTTACATGCATGCGTGACTCTTTCAAATGTTTACATCCAAGCATCAGATGCTGCTAGATGTTTATTCAAAGAACAGTGCTATACAGACGAGAAAACTCGCACGATTCATGCACGACAGTGAAAATCCAGGCGGCGCGGGGGCGCCGGCGGCGAGGGAACGGCGGTGGTGCGAGAGAGAGAGAGAGGGGTGAGGATTTGCGTGGTGTGATCTGGTCGGACCTTGCTGAAGCTGAGCAAGTGGCCCCACTCGTCAAACAGTGTCTCTCACATCTGATCTGATAATGGGCTGGGCTGGAGCAGCACATACACGAATTTCCCTCGTATTGTATTGTAAAAAGAAAAGAGACAATCCTACCGAAAATACAAAGGTGAACATGGGTGCGCGCGCACCCATGTGAATAGTAAATTCATAAAAAAATACTAGAAAAAAATATTATTTTTTTGAAATTTCGCAGTATGAAACTTAGTCGTTCATTCTACTCATGTGTGAAGTTTCATGATATATTGACACCCATGGTATTCTTAGTGAAGAAAATACCAATGCGACCATACTATTCATTAAACAGTGTTTTTTAATATAACTTCGATTACCTTCGATTTTGTCATTTTTTCCCAGATCATCACGGATGTAATTTCTTCGTGAAACTTCATATGCGAGTGTACCGGCTGTGTATGTATATTACAAAAATAAATTCAGATTTTCTTGATTTTTTCTAGTATTTTTTTGAATTTAATATTATAAAGGGTGCGCGTGCACCCATGTTCACCAAATCCGCGTCCCAATCCTACACTCGGTAAAGACGAGTTGTTGTTGTTGTTGTACAAAAATAATTGAGGTTTTTTCCTTTTCTCTTTTGATCTAAATACAGTAGGAAGGTACCTTGGTAATATGTTGTGGTCACTTGCCAGTGACTTATAAAATGTCTTACATTTGTTTACAGAGAATGAGCATTGATCCGGTACCAAATCGAGGCAAACTCTGAATACTAGGTATGACCCAAAAATAACAGGGGTCGGGGTCGGCCAGTGAGACGATGGGGGATAAGCTTCATCGTTGAGAGAGAAACAGCCCGGATCACCAGCTAAGGCCCCTAAATGACCCGACTACAAGCAATGTAATCACGCTGAAATTGTTCTGGCCACAACCGCATCGTGCATCCTAGTTACGCAGAATGAGTAGGAAACATGGTGGCACCTACTTCCTACGTCCCACAATATAAGTTGTTTTTGCAAGCTAACAGTTGGTAAATAACATTGCCCGTATTTCTATAAAGAACAATACTAGTACATCATTGCTGGTGAAATTTGCTTGTCAAATTTCCTTTTTGTGAAGTTCATTTGGTAAATAACATGGCCCGTACTGCTATAGAGAAAGAAGAGTCCTAGTAGGAGTACATCATCATTACTGATGAAATTTGGCCGTTAGAGGGCAATATACAAATCAGACTATGGCGGAGCTAGCACAGGACCATTGGGGGGGCCAATGGCAAAATATGGCTTTATGAAGGGGTAAAAGTCCCTATTTTTCTCAATCTATGCCATCCCAAAAAAAATTCTTCACAAAAGCTACCAGGCTTGGGGGGGCCACAGCCCCCCAGCCATACACATAGCTCCGCCAGTGCTTGGGTGTATGTCATTGTCAGGGAGGAAGATTCAGAGTTCCAGAGTAACCTGAATTGCCATGGTTCCAGAATTTTGCAATTATTAAGCCTATTCTGCAATTCTGGAAGCAAAGTTGGTTGTTATGTTCTTTTTCAGATATTCATTGTAACAGAATACTGTACATCAGTAACAGAAAATTAAACCGGCGATGAACCAGCCGGTTCATAGTAGAGACAGACTCAGCGCCCAAGAGAAAGAGATACAAAAGAGGAGCAATACCAAATACAGCCACCCAGAAAAGCTCCTGCCTCCATGGATTGGAAAACACTTCAGATCCCATGAGCTCTGCGCGCTGTTGCGGTGCCTCCCTTTTTCCCCTCCGTCGCCTGTACCAACATCCAACGCTTGTTAATCCAGTAGCAAATGTGAAAAATCACTCAACTGGGGTCGCAACTCGAAACAGGCCATATTCTTTTGGCCTTCCAGATCCTGCAAAGTGTCCCAGCAACTCTGACAGTCGCAATCTTCCTTTCCCCGGTAGGAACCAGGAAGAGATTTAAGCCAGCCACTCACTGCAACGACAACAATCAGATGAGGTCAAAGTTGGCAACAGAAGCCAAGTGCACAACAATATATATTGAGCTGGTAAACACTATACTTCCCCTACAGTAAAAGTCCACATACACGCTCAAGTATAGAACAAGATTGATGTTACCTCTGGCTCCTCAAAGATTTCTGAATGCTTACCATAGCTTGACACTTGAATTGGGTAATAAGTTTTAGAGTTCACACATGGAGTCTGAAAGATTCAAGTTAATGTTCAGCTCTGACTCAAATTCAGAGTTCAGAGTACAAATTTTGCATAATGCATACTGTTTACATGCATGTCT